TCATTTCCTATATTTCCACGTCTGGTTTTGTTACCTGTTCAGGCAGAGGAGAGCTGGCAGAGACCAGGACAAGAGAGTTGGTACCTGACTTTGAATTCCTCATTTGTTCTCTCCTCACAAAACAAGCGCTGCTGTCCTCAGTGTTAATTTATTTCCACTTCTACAAACAGAGAGACCCCACACTGTACGGACCTCATGTTCTGTCTTTGTAGTGACTGCGACAAAGGTATTGGTTAGTGCAGGAACCCGGAGAGAACAGGCTCTAGTGAAGAGTCTCACAAAGCATGGAGGCTAATACGCTTTTTCAGAAGTTATACTGTTGACATGTACGTTCTTCTCCATCAGGAACCTGTAGGAAGATTTTTTTTTTTTACACGATCTGGTCTAGAAGAATCCCTAGGGACTGCCTTCTGGTGTGGTTTCCAGAACAAACACTACAGAAATTCTTTCCTTTCTCAGTATTTGGACTGGCTTGATCGAAAGTTTTGCTACCAACCTTCAGATCTTCAGGCTACAGCCTCTAAAAAATTAGGAGAGGGGCAATAAAACTTCCCATGAGAACGCAACAGCGTGCATCCCATCATCCTGCCTGCTGTCAGCACTCTTTAATTAGCAGCCTAGGTTCCTACAGGCCGTGGTAATTAACTTATTTATGAAGATTGAGGTGATATCAGTCACTTTATTCCCATTCTTTGACTTTCCCTTGAGGTCTGGCCAGCCTTACAGGACTGTCATGACCACTCCTGTGTTGATCTTGCTGGTGGAGGAAGGTGGAGAAGGCGCTCCGGCTGAGAAAGGTGCCACCCTTCCTGCAGCCGCCCACTCTGCCTGGCACGCAGCCTCACTCCATGTCTCCACTGGGCAGGAAATGGGTGCTGCAGACTCAGCATCCTGTCTTCCTACACCAGTGGGGAATGCAGCCACCTGTTAGGCTGCTTCCCTGCTGGAGATGGGGGCAGATGGTCTGTCTGTAGAAAGGGGTAATTTGTACTTTCACCACCAGGACATGATACATATGAAAAAAATCTCAGGTTAATTTGTGCCTCACTTTCTCCTGTTAAATAATCCCACTTCCCCTAGTATTTCTTGTGAAACTCGGGAAATTGCTCCCAAGGTAGCATGGCACTTTGCTTTTTTGAAGGTATAGAGTCACACTTTCTTTAAAGATGTGTAACTGAGGAGGATATGTACGGAGGGGGTCGAGAGGGGAGAAGGTATCTGCTGGGTAGAAGCTGTTGAGGCCTACCTAGCACTAATCTACGCTTTTTAGCCACAGTGATGACATATTCTTGGAGACTGAAATGGCAGGAGAATTGTTCCTTGAACAAACACAGTTTGAAGCGTCAAGTGAGCAGGCCAAGATGCTGTATATTTGAGAGCTCAGAAGAGATCAAGTCGTTGGACTGCTGGTAGAAATACACTCTCGGTTGTTAAAAGAGAAGCTGCTCTGAAAGATGGGGCGGGGGGGTAGCAGATGTCTTACCTGTTTATTTTTTCCTTAAAAAGGATTCTGTGGTTGAACTAAGTAATAACAAGGCAGTAAGTCTGTTACATGTGCCTATTAAACTGGTTGAAATGATCGTCAAGTTATTAGACGATGTCTGCCATTATGTATTTTTAACCTGATAGCATCTTACCAACCTGGTAGCCTAGTTTCTCCAGTAGACGGACGTCTCTCAGTAGTCTAATGGAGTGGTTTGAATTTGACAACAAATCAAAAAATAATGGATTACTGTAGCTTGCTCAGAAGTCCTTTGAAAAGGGGAAAGAGTTAAGGAATTATTGTAAACGGCTAATGATCTGAGAGAGGCAACTGGCTGAAAAGTAAAGAGCATCCAAGGGTTCATTCTGAATCCGACTTGGCGTGTGGCGGGTGTCCCACTGGGCAGCGATGCAGCTTTTTCAGTTCAGTCAAGAGGTGGTTCCAGCAGGCTCCGAGCTGCAGGTGACACAGTAGATCATGAACTTCGGTGTGGAGGAGTGTAAAGTAGAGCGTGGAGGTGGAAAAAGAGAGAAATGATGCAGAACACCTTAATGACACCAGATACTGACAGAGCTCTGGGCATCTCTGTTGAGGTAAAACCTGTGCTCAACAAGCAGGTGCTTTCAAAACAGAGCAGAGATGTTAGGATCTGCGAGGCCTGGCTGAGGAAGGAAGGTGAACCATATAGATCTTCAGCAGCAGCAGTATCAGCAGGCTGCTGTCTGCAGGACTGGTCAACGTGTCTCAGAAAAAACAATGGAGGATGAACGAACTTCGGGGAATGCTGGTGATTAGGGGCCAGGAAAGATTTTCCTAGGAAAAAAGACTAGGACTCTTCTAAAGCACAGCCATTGGACAATGTGATACATGTAATTTAATAAAATACTAAGTGGTTTAAGAGAGTGGATTTGGAGCTTCTATCCTCCTTGTCTCAACAGAAGACAGTCAGTAAAGTACCAAGGAAGCAAACAGAACTGATGAAAAGGGATACTTTCTCCTGGATTTTTTCAGTTAACCCAGGGAAGTCAGTTCGGTAGGTGCCTGTGAGCCTAAAAATGGCAAGGTCAGAAAGGTGAGGGTGTTACATGGTTAGAAGGTGATGATAATAACGTTGGTGGATGTAAGAATTAACTGTTGCGGTTCTGGTTTCAAGGAAGTTACCAAGAAATTAAATTAGTCCCACATGGAAAAGGCAAGGACGGACTATTTGTAGGATCATAGGATAACTCTGCCTGGAAGTGACCTCGGGAGTTCTCTAGTCCAACGTCCTGCTCAAAGCAGGGTCAGCTAAGGGGTTAGACCAGGTTCCTTTGGCCTTGTCCAGTCAGTCTGAGCTTTTCTGCCTTCTGAAAGGTCCTGGGCTTTTTCTGCAGCAGTGTGTGGTGCCGCTCACTGCTGGGGACGCACTGCTGAGCTGAGCAGGCCCTGAGCAAGGCATCTCACCTCTGTATTTGAGGTACACAAGTCAGTGGAAGCGGCAGAATTTAGCACCATTAGAGCATGTGCGACTGCTGTTTCCCTCCCCCTGCAACTTGGAACTTGACAATGAAGAACTGTCAGTACAAAATGCGCTGAATCTAACCTTTTCCTTCCATTTTCCAGGTTCCATCTTTCGTTCTTATTGGTCCTGTTTTGTACTATTTGCTGATCCACATTTAAGGGCGGAGTTGGGCTATAGATTTGGCACCCTAATGGGTAGGTAAGTACTGCTACTTATTTTGTTTGACCAGCTTTGTGATTTGTTGATCCCTAAAATCTTCCAAAATGAATTGAATACTGTAGTGAAAGAAATTATTTTCAAAGCGATTACTTTTCGAGCTTTACAAGCTGGTGCCAAAGCTGGCTTTCAGGTACACCAGCAGCAGCAGCAGAAATACAGGGATATTGAACAGAGCAGGAGCCTGTAAATACAAGTCTGGAAAGGGAGGAGTAAGACAGATAAATTGTTAGTTTTGCATCGTTTGTATGTTTGTGATTGCAAGCACAAAAGTGATGATCTCTTTCAAAGTTTAATGTCAGGAACTCACCATAAATAATATGACAGTACAGATGTGTCTGTGAGAGGTATTTAAAGCTGTGGAGGATGTGAAATTCTGTTTTTCTCCACATGCTGTCTCCTACTTAGAAGAAAATGGTCCATTTACAGTGATAACTACACCAAGATTCTGTCCAGGAAAATGAAATTTATGAACTGGCTACATAAAACTTCAGTTTCTCTCTAACAGGAAATGACTCCAAGATTCACGGCAAAATCCTCTGCTGGTTTGGGAGCCTGAGTTTAAAATAAATAAATCCATTAACATCTGTAATTGCTTATAGGAAAGGCTGACCCATGAAAGCGTGTAACCAGCATTCCTTAGCCTCGCATGTCTGCAGCCAAGCCATTTGAGAAAACAATCTCGCATGTGTTTTTCCTGCTTTTTGAGCCTTGCTGTGCCCAGAGCTTTACTGGAGACACTCAACCACAGCTGACGCCATTCCAAGTGAAACACTCTGGTTTAGCCTTTGAAAGAAATAGGTTTGGGGAGCAATATAAAACCTCTGCTAAAATAGCCAGAACCGTAGTGAACTTAGGACTGGGAAGAAGACAATCAAAAAGTCTAAGAATAGAGGTCTAGTTTTAGTGTTGCCTGAGGGCTGATGGCATTTCCATCTGGACATTGTACCTGGTGCTGTTCCAAGTAATCCCTAGCTAGTACTGCTGTTCTTACTGTAGCTGAAAAGATCAAGAAACTCATTTTAAAATCCCGCTTGTTTAGTCTGTTTACCTTGTGGATGTGACAGCAGTCTGAAACATGGTCAGTGCCACGGTTTATTGAGAACTCGGAGGAAGAGTTCAGTATTAGTTAGCAGGAGAGCGAATCTTGATGGGGAGCAGCTGTGGAGGTAAGAGGAGAGAGAGGATGAACGTGTTTGATAGAATTCTTCCCAGACTTGTCCCAGAAACCCTGTACTATAATTATAGTGATAGTGGTTTGGGTCAACATGCACTTTTCCTAATTTTACTCTTTTATACCAATTCGCTCCTCCTCCAAAGTGCTACCCCAGCCCTGTCCTGCAGTGCATTCGCATATACCATCCTACATAATTACCTCTTTCTATTTCTTTATCTAAGGACTTCATTAAGTGTCTTTCTGAGGCCCTGTAGCATATCATGAAGATCCTATTCATGCTCTCTACGAACTGAGGTGCTTAATTTATGATCTAGAGAGCTCTGAAGAGCCAACTTGTCACTGTGTTATGTGTGAAAGCAAGTGGGGTCCTTGGAGAGAGAATGTGCTCTGCTAAATGGCTGTGAAAGAAGTGTGGAAGAATGACCTGTCAGAAGAGCAGGGAAGTGCCCACTGTGTTGACCTCATTGAAGTCTGGAGAATGGAGATCTCTGAGGTGGTGGAAGGGACCTGGTGAAAATTGCAGGTCACGGAGGATGCAAACCTGAACTGACTCTGGTATCTTCCCCGGCTCTCCCGTCTTCACAGTGTCGTCAGGCCACGGTGTTACTGGAACCTGCAGGCCAATGGATGAACAGGACAGTGATTTTAAAGAGTTGTGGGCGAATCTTTTGGGTAGAGCGAAGAAAAAAGCTGGGGATGCTGAGGCAGCCAAGAAGGCTCAAAACAGGTCAAAGAGCACTGCAGCAAGAAGCAAATCAAGAAGAGGCAAAGCTGCTGCTAGGAGCCAAACCCATCATCACTTGCCAGCAGTGAAGCAAACAAACTTACCTCAAGATTTGCGTCCAAAGGAACAAACATTGGCGTGCAAAGAAGATGATGACGCTGGGGCCTGTGGTAGTGGTGACACTGCACAAGGGGATGGAAGGAGAAACCCTTTCCCTGCCAGCCAGCTGGGTACAGTGGCCAGTGAGTGTAGCCAGAGGACTCTGACAGGTGAGTGAACTGAAATCCTTCCAACAGAAGACGGGCTAGGACTGAAAAGAGTCTAGTTTAGTGGAGCTCTTCAAAAGTCCACCTGGAGGGGGAATGCAGCAGCACTGATGGAACCAGTCTTGCATCTTGTCTTTCCATTCACACTGAGCTACTTAGGCTTATGTAGGGGTTTAACCCAGGAGTGTGTTCATTGCTACAGGCAGGCAGAAGACGTCCTTCAGTAAGGCAAAGCCTCGGTACAAAGTGATGTGTTAGAGATTCATTATTCAGTGTTTTTTGCGGTATCAGAACTGAGAAAAACACCCTAAAATCATCTAGAAGCAAGCTTCTGAGTTGCTTTTTCACCCAGTGCATCACTGTATTGTGAAATATATTGCCACTGAATCTTGTCAAGGCCAAAAATATGAACGAGTTAAGAAAGGTGTTGGATTAATTCATAAAGGATTAGTCCTTCAGTGGTTATTAAACGTGATGGCCAGCATGCTGTCACCAGTGTAGGAAGACTTTAAACTGATAAATAAGGTCAGCAAGGAGAAGGATTGTTTTGTACATGTCCTGTCCTCCTCAACCCTTTATTTTAAAATATGTGTTGTTGACCATGCTCAGAGACAAGATACTGGGCTGGCAAGATCTTTGGTCCCACCTTGCGTACTGCTGGATATCCACAGGATATCCCCAGGATACCTCAGGCAGAGCAGTGGTGTGCTGAGGTGTTAGTCTGGCGTTGCCTCTGCTTCCTGCTTGTGACCGCCTCTCTTTGGGAACTCTATGTTCCTTCAGCTCAGAGCCTGAAAGTTCGAGTCATAGGTAGGGTTTGGAGATCAGAGCAAAGAACAGCAGGAACTGCAGGTCATCCTGCGGTGAGAATGCTGGGGAGAGCGGGACTGTAGGGCTGCCTTGCTGCTTGTTCTCGCTAGTGACCTTCAGGCAAGGCCTTCCTTAGTATTTCTTCCTCTAGAAAGGATACAGAGATGTCTAAACTCCACTGTAGCACAGATCCTGTTCCTGGGGTTATCAAGTATAAATTCATGTAATAGCTAAACAAATTGTTTGCTTCTTCCTCTAAGAATGGCTGTTGCAAAACTGAGCCTGGCTTAGGCTGCTGTTGGGGAAGGCTGCCAAGCAGCAGTCTGGGCAGCTCAGCTGTGTGTTTACAACTGACTGGTAAAGCTCTGCTGTTTTCTCCCCCTCTAGTCAATACTCTGAGTGGCTGTTCACAGACGACATTATCCTTCCATTCTGCTACACAGCCCGGGAGCTGCTCTTCACCCACCTCAAAGATCCCACTGCTCGCAGAGTCAAAGGTGCGGGTGGCAGAGCTGGTAGTGGAGAGAATGCAGCAGTTCAAGAGAGTGGCACCGGAGCAGCTAAAGCACAGCACAGACGATAGCTTGCCGAAGTCTGTAGCCGTTGGGGATTTCCCTGACGAAAGCCAGGAGCAGAACCCACCAGAGAATGGTACGTTTCTCCTGTTAGCTCTTGTACGTGCAGAAAGAGTGCTGTGGGCCTGTTCCAACGGCTGCATGGGAAGCAGTCTGGATTCCTGGCTTTGTTCCCGGCTGGCCTAGTGGCTCAGTGTGCAGCACTGAATAAATCACTCCAGATTGCTGAGAAAACTTACATTCTGTATTGTTAAATGACTATCTGTACTTTTCTCCCAGCTCTTCTCTGGGCTGAATTAACCTTATGCTCGATTCTGGAGGGATAATTGTCTTCATGGAAACAGGTTGAAATTCCAGCAGGATCAGGGAACTCTGTCATCCTTCCCTTAGGAGAGTGTAAGGCAGCTGTGAGGTAAATATGACCCTTAGGCAGGCCCTGTCTTTGGTATATCTCCGAGCACTCTACAAAAGTAACACCTTCTACGCAGGTGAATTAAGTTCACAGCAGTTTTGCTCTGGTTTGGTACTTTATGTCAAGGCCCTGTTGGTTCTGTATGGACGTGAAAATCTGCTGTGTTTCAATATGTGGTGTGTAAGATCCCACATTCTCCCCAGAAACTTTAGCCAAAACTTATTCTTTATTTGACTCTGACATGTGATGTGCTGTGAACAAACTGCTACCCCTTGCTCTTAGGCTAGTGCAGTCCTGAGGCATTTAAAGAGTGCGGTTTGTACAGTCCCTTGTGAGAGATCAAAGGTGGAGGTGCAAGAGAAAGATTGCCACTTATTTCCACATGTCTAGTTTAATAAATTAATAATGATAAGTAGATGGCTTCACGCCTTTCATACAGGATTCTTAGTTTTCTGTCTTAGATCATCTCTCCCTTCTTTGCCAGATACCCACCATCTTCTGTCCATGGAGCATGACGGTGCTCTGGCTTTGGCTCTTCAGCAGGCAAACAGAGAGGAAGCCTTGGCAAGCCTAGAGGATGCAGGCTTGTTTTTTTGCCAGATCTGCCAGAAGGATCTCTCAGCCATGACCACAACACGACGAGAGCAGCATGTTAACAGGTGAAAGACCAGCATGATGTGTCCTTTCCACATCCTCTCCCGCTTAACCTCATAGACTGCTTCCTCAGCTTAGCCTGTGCAGAACATGGTAGCAGGGGAATCTGTACAGTGAGATTGACACTTCTGGCTTGAATTAACAAGGGATTTTTATCTCAGAGCAGAGCTGATTGTGTGGCCCTGCAGGGCTTCTGCATGTGTGCAGTAGGGCCAGTTTTGCTTCCATCAGTAGTGTGCAGAGGGGCTGCAATTGGCTGCAAAGTGGCTAGCAGAATTAACGTGGACTACTGCAGCTTTTGAGATCTGCCAATTTCAGTCAACCAAGTAATAATTTGATCTATTTTGCTAAAAATTTTTTTTTTAAGGACATCTAGTATGTTGCTGCATATCCAAGCTGTTCACTGAGGGGAAGGTGGTACTGTTTAGAAGAATGACTAACTTGCACTGTAGAGCTTTGACAGTGAGAGAGGCAAAGGGAATGCATCCCTGCCGCCTTTTTTGTCAGAATGTGTGCAATTACATTGAAATTAGTGCCTTAATTTAACAGTTTCCTTAGTGATATCAAGTGCTGTTAATATATTATGTACAGATAGCTCTTTGTAAATTAAAATCCTGTTGAGAAAGTACCACAAACAGCACATTTGAATAGTTTTAATTTCTTAATTCCAGCACTTTCAGGGAGCAAGAGTGATTGGATTTTGTCTCTCCTACATCATGTTACTGATGGGCTCACATTCATTAGGGTTGTCTGCAACTTTAGAGGTGTTATTGCTGTTTCTGACTTCAGATATTTACTGCTGCTTGAGAGGACAGAGGTTATAAAACAGCGACAGTGTGTCTGAAATGCTTTTTGGAAATAAAGCCTGCTTTCTGAACTCTTAAGCATGTAATCATATGATGAGACTACAAGGTTGTATTAGCAGTGGATTTTTTGACAGCAGTCTTCATCACAAGAGGTAAAGCTGTAGATGGATAGATGTACAGACAAACTAGTCATCACCAGTCCTAGTCCATCGGGTGAATGGTCTCTTACACAGCCCTCTGTGTGTCATTACTTAATCAGGGAGTGATTTTTATAACAGGTACTGCACATCCAGAAATTCACACCTTGAATCTCTTTGGAGAGGACAGTAAAAGAGCCATTACATTTTTTACATAGTTTTGGCCTACCAGAAATTATCATAAATTCATAATCCTTCACTCTTGAGTGTGGTGTTAATGTCAACTGGCCCCTTTTCTGTAACATCAACCACTGTCCTTGGCAAGTGAGATACCTGACTTGAAACACGTAAATTCTTGACACTGCCTGTGGTCATGCCTACAAAAGTAGTAAGAAGGACAAGAAGTAGCCCTGTTTTGCATGAGGAAGACGTACCATTTCTCTGGTAGGGTGATTCTTTTTTTAGCAGTGGCTTGCAGGTTAGCTGGAACATTAGAATGAATGCAGAAAGAAGGATTAGGTAATGGACACACAATGAAATTAAAGGTTATTACCTGCGCTTGCTTCTGCGCAACATGGTTTTGCTATGCCTCTGAGGCTGTAATCTCCGTGTAACCGTTACATGTCATATTCATCACAGTGCTGGGCACATAATTCTTGTTTCTTTAGGGATGTTTCTCTCTGCTACAGAAATTAGAGATGATTGTGCTTCATTTTCTTTAATATGGTTTAAATCTTAGCATGGGCAGTTTTAAAGTCTTCAGAGGTAAGCTTTGCCATCGTCTCACAGGTGCCTGGATGAGATGGAAGAAGCACAGATGTCATCCTCCAGCAAACCACTTGTCCCTGAATGTCCCATCTGCGGGAAGCAGTTCCAAACCCCACAGAGCCGAGTCAGTCACTTGAAACGCTGTGCTGTCGAGATGGATGTTCCTCCTAAGCTGCTTCTTCAGGCAGTGCAGTTGCAGGTGTCCACACTTGGTGATGTACCTCCTCAGTGTTCCAGGTAAGCTGGTGAAAATAAAAGATGGTACTTACCTGAGAGGCATTACCCCTGTGCTCTGGGACATGAGTCATAGAAGCAAGGCGACTCGCAGGCTGGACAAGCCCCAAGTCCAAAAAGGCCAAGCAGAGCCATGAACCCAGTACTACCTGAGGGGAGTGTGGTAGGTAGTTGGAGAAATCATCTTGCTTTCCTTCAGAAGTGGTCAGGTGGTGGATGACTTTCAAAGTCAGCAGGCAGGAGCAAAATGGGGAGTAAATAATCTTACACTGGTTTGTCAGAAATATTTCTGCTCCATGAGGCAATTATGCAGCGAAGCTGAATGGTGTGTTGGATCTTACGAAGCAAATCGCATAGTGCGAGTATGCAGTCACTCCAGAGCGTCTGGCGTGCCAGTGCCTCAGCCCTTCAGCTTGTGGCTGTACTGGATATATGTGCTTTACACCCCGAGCCAAGGAGGAAACAGACGTGACGTTTGGAAATGTGCTCGATGCAGAGCTGCATCTGCTGTCTTGGATTTAGGCAGGATCTTCAGAGGACAGCAAGTGGTGCCTGACTGAATTTGTAGAAGGGCTCGTAAGTCCCTTTGTGCTGAGGAAGGACTGTTGCCTGTTCTCTGTGGAGGCAGAAGAGTGGGAAGGCATTTTCTTTTCTAGGAGTGGTGGTTTTGCCCTGCATCAACTTGTTTTTTCCCCTTTGGTACAAAAAAGCATTTAAGGTAGAGATAGCAGATGTTTACATCAGTGCTGTGGTCTTGTGCTTACCTTTACAAAATAAGACTTTCTCTAAATTGCTCTAAATTCCATGGATGGTAAGAAATCCTTTGCTCCCTGCTAGGGAAAAAGGTACTGAATAGTTTTTCATTATCCTGGAATGGGAATCTCTCTGAGCAAGTAGAGCAGCTGGTCTGGAGTGCTCAGTGTTTCTTGTCTCTGATCCAGTCACATTAACTTGGGCTTCCTGCTGCATTCTTACATTTCAGCAATCAACCAAGCAGGTCAAAGCGAAAAGGCACCTCCGCAGAGGGCCCACAGAAAATGCAGAAGAGGGCCAAAATGGAGACTAAGGATGAAGATTTGCTGGTTGCTATGGCAATGTCACGCTCTCTGTTGGAGCAAGAAAAGCAGGAACAAGCAAAATCAGTTACAAATGTGAAACCAGTGGCTGCTTTCCCAATCAAATGGAAGCCAGGATCAGGTATGTGTTAAAGAGAGTTAGTGTCAAAGGCTGTGTTATTGGAGGGATAATGTAACACAGCCTGCTCTTCACTGAAACTTTCCTGTTGGGTACAGGAGGGACGACAGCTCTGTTTCTGTTTTATTGAAGCTGTCAGAGCTTCAGCAATACGCAGTATCCACACACAGTCGAGAGGCTGCAGGATGTCCATGGGTTTTAGTGAAATCCCTTAGGAATCTCATGCTTTTTTTCACCAAATGATTGTTTTGAATCTGTAAAATAATCTTTAGATAAGCTGTTGTTTTTTGTAAACTGTAGAAATGAAAAGGAATAACATGAACAGATTATTGTTATTTCTCCTGCAGTAGACTTTTTTCCTATTTATCCAGCTGCAACCTGGATCAATGCAGCTTTTTCAGCCTTATCTGTTTTCTTTCTGAGACAGACATACGTGTATACTACATGCCATTGAGCATGTACTTCACTATTTCAGTGTGCAGAGAGGGTTAAAAAGGAAGAAACTGCCAGAGGAGAGCACCGAGTGCTGTGTAGAGGGGAGAATTCACTCTGTGACACTACTCGGGTCTCCTCCTGCCATTAAGTAATGCCAGTTGGGTTTGGGGTTGGCATGTTGATAAGTCATGACACAGGATTTCCCAATGAGGTTGGGCAGTGTTTGTGTGAGCTGTGGTTTGATATCACCAGTGACCAGTACACAAGAAAAGGGCTCCTTCATGGATTTGTTGGCGCTTCTCTCTCCCTTTTTTGTGAAGCACTGGGATCTGGTCAAGTGCTGTACAGGCACCATTCCACAGGTCTGGGAGGTAGACTGCATTGATATCAGTTGCTTCCATAATGATCAGCTTTTGTAGAGACATGCTCCCAGCAGGCAGCAAAGCAGTGTGAGCAGGAGTCAGTCTTTTCTGGAGTTCACTTCTCCCATGAGGGTGACGTGAGGCTTTGAACTACCTGTGGGAATCGTAAGAGTTGTGCTCAGCTTGTAGCTGCTGTTTGGTCATCACTGACCACAACACCTGAAGGAGCTGGCAGGGTGAGCTCCTCTGACTTGTGTGTTCAGCTGTTTATTTATTTGAGTTCATCTTTCTTTCCTTTAAAAGAGAAAAAACGTCGTAAAAGAGGCCCAACTGCACCTCCACCACTACTACTTCAGGACCCAGAGAAGGTCCGTAAAAGGATCCAAGAGCGAGTAGCTATGCTGATTGCAGAAGAGGTGGAATTCCCTCCTACCCCTAAGCTTCCCACCAGTAAAATTTTGGAGGATCAATCTGGGAAAGCAACCTGGCTCTTGCCATTGTCCCAAACCAGGGAGTGCTTTTTATGGAATTTCAGTGCTCTGACAGGACCCTATGACCCTGAATCATTCTATGCTGCTGGATTAACCCCTCCAATTGTACCTTGGAAGCCTGTGCAGGTGGGATCCTTTTTTGTCCTTGCTCTGATACTTGTGTCTCCTAGTTCACTCTCTATTTTTATAAAACCTGCCTACAGAAGCAGACAAAGCTCTTTTAGTCTCATCTTGTCACACGCTTTCTCCCTGAGAAGAAAGATATTGCTTCTCTTCCTTCTCTCATTCCTTTCTTGAAGAATTGTTTGGGGCTGCTTTTCAAAAACTACTGTGCTATATAGGTGCTTATTTGATACTTCTTCCCTAGTCAGAGCCCAGAGTTTTTCACTCATTTATCACAGGCTAGGGCTGTACTGGAGGGGCTCCATTCTATTAAATTTTTTGACTTTTTGTTCAAGCCAAAAACTGCCAGAGAATTTTAAAAATAGAAAGTAGAAAAGCCTTTAAAATCATGGCAAGACTCTGTTTTCTCATCTGATTCTTTCCATTCACAGAAATGGCTAAACCATTTTTACTTAAAAATAAACAAGCAAAACTATTTTTATTGGGAAACAGAGACCAAACCTGGAAAATATCAGCTCCAGTGTGAAAACTTGATTTAGTTACATGTAACTACAAAAGCATTTCAGAACTCAGAAGCACCTGGAGAGCTTCAGCTGCAACTGTTGCCAGGTTCTCCAGCTATAATGAAATAGTTAGATTTGGAGTGGGAGCATTTCCACCATCCTTTCTCCCTGCTTGGCAATTGCCTGCACAGACATGCTCCTGGAGAACCCACCTTTTCTCTATTTTCTGTGGTAGTGTCCTTTCTTCTGTTCAGAGCTGTCTTATCTCCGGAGAGTCCTTCATAAAACTGCAGAGCTTTTGCCTCAGAAGCCCTTGTACCTGGGGAATGCTCTGTAATCCTTCACTAGATGTTTCAAAAGTGTGAAGTAGAGACTGTAGTCTGAGCTCAGCAAATGCATACAACAAAACCTAATTTACTGGTGTCTTTTTTTCCCCATCTTTTGAACAGAATCATAAGCCAGAGAATCTTCTGCCATCGGTGGGATCTGATCAGCCAAAAGTATGCCAGGAAACTCAGCCTGACCTCAGTTCTCAGGAGCCCACATGCACAGAGGTTGGAGGTCAGAATTCTGATGAATCCAAGTCAGGCCAGGAAGGAGACGAGCAGTTTTTGTCCCACAGCCAGAAGGATGATCAGACCCTGCAGGACCTAGTTGAGTTGGCCAGGGAAGGACTTACCCTCACTCAGTGGAACCTTGATGTTGACCACGTTCAGGCAGCAAAGCAGCCAGGTAAGTTCTGGCAGCTTCACGAGCCTTGTCCTCAGTCCCTTCAGCTACACAGAGCTGGGCTTGGGCTCTGCTAAGTTAGGAGAGCCATGGCAGCACCCACAGGATGTTGGTCCAAGAGGTAGTACTGTGGGGAACACTTTCCTGCAGTAAGCTTTATATTGCCAAGCTGACATTTCTGAAATGATTCAGAAATCCCAGTGTTTAAGAGAACTCCTGGACAGCAGAGACTAAACCTTATTTTAAAATGTCCTTAAAACATGCCAAAGTATTTTTTGCCAGGTGTATTCTACAGGCATTTGGACAGTCTTGCTGTTATATGCATTGTCTTTTCAGGTCTTGAGACAACTGGGTGAATGAAAATTTCAAGAGGGATGATGCTGTGTTGGTACATGGATTAGATAAACCTGAATTTTAGCTGTACCTATACGGGGTTGAAGAAACAGAGCAGCTAGAATTCCTCTATGGGCAACTTTCTAATCTCCCTAGTCCTGGTTGCATGTGGTGTACAGCTGCACACTTCAAGGTCAGGGATATCCCTTACAATGGCCTGGCTATCCAGCAGAACGTGTTGTTTGTCTCCTGTTACCCTGAAAGACAGCGTGGCTGCTGAATTCACCTGTCTGCATTTTCACTTGGCTATAACATTCCTCACTTCCCCTACTAAACTGCAGCAAATGATTGCTGGTCCTATAAAGCTACTTCTGGGATGTCAATGAAGATATTCTTTCCTGGGTGAGGGAAATAATTTATGCACAAAAATGTGTATTGTGTGTGTAAACAAGATCAGGCAGTAATGCACCCGAACCCCTTTCTGAAGACATTCATTCTTCCTGTTGCTCCGCATCCTGGTCTTTGCGCTCCATGGGCTACCGCAGTGCTCCAGCTGCGTGACATGCTGGTTTCACTGGCTGCCCCTGAGCGCTAGGGCCCACACACATTTTGTCCAGGTTGAAATGCGGATCCAGGGTACATTCTGCCTGTCTGCCTGAGTGAGACCATGGCATGTCCCATCCTGCTCTGTGTCCTCATTTTTTTCCCACTGGAGGAAGACTGAGACGTGAAAGCAGAGAAGCATGCTGCGTTCCGCAGTTTCTCCCTCTAGATGATGGCACACGAAGACCTGCAGTAGGTTGGTGCTGCTTGTGACTGAATAGTACTGGGGTGCTCACAGCCTGTCACAGCCCAGAGCCAGCCAATACAGACATGAGGGAGAGGCTGAGCCTTCAGCTCAGTCAGGCTGGTTATAGCAGCTGTCTCGGGGAGCTGTCATGGCAAGGATGCTGTTAGTTCTTACGTCGCTCTGTTTCACAAGAAGTTGTATGAGATTTGTGATGTGCATTTTCTTTTTTGAGGAAAAGAACTGACTTCCAGTGATATTCCACATAGTGGCTTTGTCCCACCATCCAAAGAGAAGAACCTCCTGACAAGCAGTAAAAAAGTAAGGACAACACTTTTTTTCTACTTTTTTTGTATTTGTTCATCTCTGTAAAAAAAGAAGTTATTGTATTTGTGCAATTCATAGAAGTATGGAATACTTCCCATTCCTTCCCATAGAAACAAAGAGGTGCTTAAGGTTCACAGTCAGCAGGGCACAGGGGAGATGAGCACACGTGGTGGTATTTCATTGATGCCCACAAGCAGGCCTCTGGATGTTTCAGTACTTTTTCTGCCCGATGAGAGAGATGATTTTAAATGCCAGGTAACACAAGGCCAGTCTGTGCATAGTCTATATAAAAAGAACCAGGCTAAACAGTTACATTACAGCACTAACAGTCTTCGCAGGTAAGCAGCTGCACCACGATAGGCAGTACTCTGCGTTAATGCCCAGGCTATCCAAGAGAAAATTGGCTGCAGCCCAGGAGAGACACAGCTGCCTGGTGCCTCCTCCAGGCTCACAGCGACTTGGGGTGGCTCCGAATGGAGCTCTTCTCTTCTGTCACCTTCCTCTCCATGCTGTGCCTTGCAGCAGAAGAGAACACTCTTGCAAGAACTAGCTGACTCGCACTAAATTCTCTCACTGGCATAAAAGCTTGATAGATGAGGTGGAATGCTGTGAGGTCCATGGAAGATGAAAAACCTCACACTAGCAGCAAAAAGGTTCAGTATAGAAAATCCTCAATTGTGGGAACATGTAATGGATCTGGCTTGAAAATCAGTGTGCTCTCTGTGGTGACTAGGGGAAGACTGCAGGCTAGGAAGGCACACATGATTTTTTTTTCAAGCCAGTAGTGTTCTGTAGATCACATCTTACCCCAGATACACCTGTCCTTTCCCTCCTGGATGCATAATCAGTTTTCTTCAGTTGACGTGCATATTAAAAAAAACCTCATTCATTTTCTTACCAAGGTCATCCAGTTTATCCAGTGAAACTTATTATCTTTGGTTTGATAATAAATAATCATGCCGTGAAAACTAGTAGCTTTTGGTGCATGATGGATTTTGGTGCCCTGAGAATACACTTTAATGCTGTGCTTATAGAATTAAGATACCTCTGAAAGGAGACAATTCTTTGAGGTGGGAATCGGTATTAAACTTAAGCATACCAGCTACTTGTTACAAAAACTCTAGGTATTTTTTGAGGGTATTAAAAAAAATCCTTAGCAGGAAAAAACATCTTGGTTTATAAGCTCCTGAGTCTATTAAACCAAAATAATTGCTACACTATTTAGCAATACAGAAGCTGTTCTGATACTGTTGTTGGAACTCAGTTGCTACCAGCAAAACCAGTATGATCATTTTTTCAGATTTAGTTTGATTCCATGATAGTTTTCCTGAGCAAATGAAATGTTGCTGTAAAGTTGGATTGCCGGTGGGAGAGATTCTTGCTTTATATGAGCACAGACAGAGTGTCACCATAGAGAGCAAATACATCCATTGCCTTGGTAACTAACACATCCCCCGCCCATGCCTAAGACCCTTGTCACGTCTGTGGAGTCCAGTCTAGCTGGCCTCCTCAGCAGGAGACAGTGTCCTGGTGTGTTCTCCGACAGCAGCACATACCCGCCCAAGCTGTGTTCAGACCAGTCTGTTTGCTTTGCACTGAGGATGCTGCAGCCGGGAGGTTTCCAGCCTTATTTAATTTCCCCATTCTTGATTCATGATTTTAGCATCA